CTGTCATTTCCCTGAATTTTTGCCCCCAGTGTGCTTATTATGACTTACTTCCCTAGCAACCTCAAGCCTGTTGATGTGGAAGCAGCCTGTGCCAACAGAACAGTCCCATAACACAAGCTCAAAAAGGTGGATTTGGAGACAAAATGCACACAGCAACAGGCTGAACGTGCAGACTGAAACTCTGGGATGCAACCCATGTAAAACTGAGAGGAAAATCCCCCAGACCAAATCCCTGGACATGGCACCTCTCTCCAGCCAAACCAGTTTCAAACCAGGGTAGCAGCTGGTTTCATCCTTCCGTACCAGCTGCCTTGCTGGACCAGCCAGCAGCAGGCAGTCCTCTAGGGCACCTCATCCACCTCCCTCCCTGCTGCTTGGGAAAATGCTGATCAGCTGGCCCTGGGGAGGGGAGATGCAGTTCAGCAAGGGGAAGTGTCTGAAAAGCATTTAATTTTAATTAATAAAAAGGGAGCATTTAATTCTTACCTCCCTCCCTGGTGCCAAGGAAGGACTGGGTGTATCCAGGACTGGGTCTGACCTTGGAGATCCTCCTCCGTGGGGTGAGCTGGGGGGTCACTCATGTGTTCCTGGAGGGACCAGGTGGATCTCCCTCCTGATGTCTTTTTTCAAATAGAAGCCATTCAGATGAAAAGAGAGAGAAGGGAGTGGGGGGAAAGAAGGCACTGACTAATTAACTGAAGGTTTTGCGTATGTTTTGGGGAGGTAAGAGCTGACAGATTGTTCCCTGAGCTTGAGCAGCTGGAGATAGGAGGGTGCTGCACCCCGTGGGAAGGAAGGGACCAGAGGTGGCTGTGCCAGGGCAGGAGGAAAGGCAAAGGCAATCCATGGCTGCAGCAGTCAGGGCCGGACTTGGGAGCTTCTCCCTCTCGGAAACTGTACACCTGCTCCCCTGCTGACATTTCATCCTGACTTGCCTGAGCAGCACTGGCTGAGCTGGAGGATGATTTGTGCTACTGCTGGTGATCCAACAGAGGCATCTTTTCACACAAAAACTTCATCAGCCATTTTCCTATAGTTTTACTAATTATTGCTGGTTTTGCTAATAATGCTCTGTTTGCTCTCTCACAGCTATCCATTCTTTCAGAAGGAAGGAGGTGTAACTCATGAAGACTGCTGACAACCGATAGAAATCCAGCAATCAGTTTAAAGGCAGAGTGATGCTTCACATGCCAGTCCCAAGGGTTCCTGACTGCATTAATCACGTTGAGCGAAGCTGCTAACTCTGCAAAGGCTGCGTGAGCTCCTCAGCCTGCCAAGCAAGACAGTGGGCTCAGAGAAGTGGAGGCATTCCCAGAGGCATTTCTTGAAACAGGTTTGGCTAAGGGAAGGAGGCATTTGCTGGTGTGAGAGAAGAAACTGTGATGGCAGGTGGATGGGAAGGCAGCAAGGCTGGACTGTGTTGGCAGCTGAGGCTGAGCTGGTCAGCCTTGCCTGATGCAAGAAGCTGATCTGCCAGGGAGCACTGGCTCTGTGCTCCAAACACCCTGTAACTGTCACTTGAGCAAGGGAAGAGTAGTCCCCAAGTCCTTGGACTTTGATTGCTTGCTTGCTTCTTTTTTTTTAAAAAAAGTGAAAGTTCACAAAGTATTAAAACTGCCTGAAGCAACCAAAGTGCCTTTTGATCCAGCTATAAGTGCTTAGAAGTAGAAAAGAGGCACGTGTTGCTTTTAAGGGTATCACACATGCACACACCTGTTGGGAACAGTTAAAAAATATAACTGGATTGGCTACAGTCTGAAGTGAGAGCTGCAAATGAAATAGCAAATGAAATAATTTGTACAAGTGATGTGTAAAGTGGCAGCTAATGGAGAAGCAGCTCAAGTGAATGTTCCGGTTCTTTGGTGCTTGTTCTGAGGAAATGGCCTGACACCCTCAGCACAGCAGAGCTGCTTAACTACTTTCACTGACAAGACTTGAAAGAGAAAAATGAGTTACAATTGCAATATTACTGCAATAAGGTTTGACTCCTAATTGCCTCTCAGTGAAAAAAAACCCCACCACCATGCAATGAGAAATTTTGGTTATGAGCATTACTTACATGTAAAATTAATCCACTAACTCCCTCCCCTGTAAAAACCAGAACATTAAATATCACGGCCTGGACTGTCCTGGTGTACCTACAAGTGTCATATCAAATGAGATAGCACCACTGAGTGTATACATCAGATAATACAGGAAAACTCTTTTGGCATATTCAATCATATGTATGAACATCATTGCCACCTTGGAGTCTATTAATACTGTGTTGGTATGATCAGCCCTCTTGGCTGTAACGCCCAGAGTAGAGGGGTGGATGGAAGAGGTGAGACACAGAACAGAATGGGAAGGATTCCTGCTCAGAAGAGTCTAGTTCTGAGTTGTTGTTTTTTTTCCCTAGACTCAGAACAAAATGTGAGACTACAGATTCTCCAGGAAAATACAATAAAATACAAAATTCTACTTGGAACAAAAATGTTCCATTTCCAAAATGTCAGAATGATGTTTTGACATTACTGAAAGCTGTAGTTTCAGTTAAATAGAATTTAACATTAGAAAGTGACATGCTTTTATGAAGAGTTTTGATTTTGACAAAGTGGGATTTTCCAGCATTGAAGCCATCTGAAAAAAAGTCTAACCAGCTCTGACTACTGATACATTACAGTAAGGTGTGGTTTTAAGAGGTGGAATTAAAATCACCTTTTGAAAAAGGAGAGAAGCTAAGTTAAAATTATGGGAAAAAACACCAAAAGGACTCTCTGAAGGTGACATTACTAATACAGCAAGACTTTTACATATTTTGAGAATCTTCATGGGGAAAATCTCCCCAGTTTTAAAAAGAATGTAAGAGTTAAAGTTGACCTGTACAGGTTTGATGTTGATGGGAAGTCACCTCAGCCTCAACCAGACAGCTGGCTGAACAGATCACCATTCTTTATACTACAGGTACAGAGTGATGTGTATGGGTGTTATGTTCCAAGCATTGGCACATTGAGAATTTAATCTCCCAATAGTATATGACTTTTCATCTAATACAGTTGTTCAGCTGTTCCTATTAAGGGTGTTTCAGCATGCAGACAGGATTTGCTGAAAGCTGGTCAGTCCTGTAAAGATCCAATCCTGCAAATTCATGACAATTTTTTAATTTGGTGGAGTAGTCCCCAAGAGTTTAGTGAAAGTCTAATAGGACATGGTTTCTCATATTTTTAAGGATTTTCAGGATTAGGCCTTGAATGTGTCTTTTTGTAGGAGTTCTAGTCTAGCAACATGCATCAAGTTGAGTTTTATTCCATGAGGTATTTTTGGCAACATTCTTTTCTACATAAATAGGGTCAGGCAGTACATCTTGCATATTGTCAGGACCCTGTCTCTCAATTCAGTTGAGCTAACTAGCTCTAAAATCACCTGCATGACTTACAAACACTTGCTACCTCTCCTTGTCATGCACTAAGGGTCTAAGTGATATGGATGTGTCCCTTTGTAGTCCTTTGTGAATGAAAACAAGGACATATGCCCATTCCACAGATTACTTCCTCAGCCTGAGACCTGTCCTTCCCCCCCGGCTACACGGAGTTATCAATGAACACCGTTTAGATTAGTGTAAGAGGCAGAAGTGAATTTTTAATTCACTTGAGACAGAAAGTCCAGCACATCTGTCTGTGTCCTGAAAGCTGCAGCACAATCAGGAACCAAACCTACAGCATCTGTCCTGGAATCTGGTCATCATTGCAAAGTGCAGAGATGGTCCTCGTGAGGAACATTCCCATCCATCTCACTCACTTTTTTAAAGATGCAAACAAAAACAAACCCAGAAATTCCTTTTTTTTTTTTTTTCTTAGAGTGGCACAAACTGTGTGCCAGACTGAAAGGGCTCAGGGAAGGGATCTGACAGCTGTGTGCACCAGACACCGTGGGAGCCATCCACCCTCTCTTCGGTGCAACGGGAAACATCCTGTCAGAGACACTCTCTGCGTTTGGGCTTTTCTTGAATTAATTATCTGTAAACGGTGACGGGCTTATCCTGCTGGGAGCCGGGGCTTCCTTGGCGGTATTTACGGATGTGCTCGATAGGAGAGTCGTGATGGTCAAAGCTCATCAGACAGAAAGCAGCATGGCATCGGAGCTCCAGCCTCAAGGCTGTTAGGGCTGCTCCCTCTAGTGGGAAAATGTACTTTAACTGGTTAAAAAAAACCCTATCCCCTTTTCTTATTTTTTCTTTTCTTTTCTTTTCTTTTCTTTTCTTTTCTTTTCTTTTCTTTTCTTTTCTTTTCTTTTCTTTTCTTTTCTTTTCTTTTCTTTTCTTTTCTTTTCTTTTCTTTTCTTTTCTTTTCTTTTCTTTTCTTTTCTTTTCTTTTCTTTTCTTTTCTTTTCTTTTCTTTTCTTTTCTTTTCTTTTCTTTTCTTTTCTTTTCTTTTCTTTTCTTTTCTTTTCTTTTCTTTTCCTTTCCCTTTCCTTCTCTTCCCTTTCCTTTTCTTCTCTTTCCTTTTCTTTCCTGAATAATTCAAGTTTCCCAGATAGTGCAAGATGGGGAAGTTCCCATCAGACAATAGGTGACCAATGCTGCAATTTTCCAGCCCTTGAGCATGGGTAGAGCTGGCACGAAGCTGATGCAGCTCAGAGGTTACTCCTCCGAGTCAGACCCGTGGCAAGTGAGGGATTCTTTGTTTGTCTTCTAGAAGTCCTCAGCATATGCCATAGCTGTGTTTGGTTTTGATTTCCGACTTCTGATTACAAAAATAGGACTTACTATAATCATAATAATATTAATGATACAAAATAATTATTGTAATTATATACTTTTTGGCAAATTATTAACACAAAGCAGCCCAAAAGATCCCATTGGATTAAAAAAAGTTGACAATGCATAAATGTTAAAAAAGACAAAGTCTCTGTTGAAAAAAAGAAGGAAAAGCAATCTGCAAAGGAATGCATTTCTGTAAGGCAACGTGTTACCTCTAGTTTTCCGTCCAGATTTAGCTCAGATTCTGTTGTTCAAGAGATTGTTAGAACTTGGTTTGCTTGAGCTTATCAATGTGGTAACACAGTTTCAGCGCAGGTCCCAGTTTCAACCCCAGGTATTTCATGATCATGTCGCTTTTCAGCAGTAACAAAGCATTGCCATCAATCTCCTGGTTTCAAAAGAGAGAAAGAGAATGGAAACGTGTTAACCCCCTTCCAGGGCTGCATCCTGACACGTTAAGCAAGGTGAGTCAGAAACAGTGTGTCTTTTAGGGTAGCGCACGCTGAAATCTCATGCATTTTGAAGTCTCACTTTAAAAAAGGGGATTTGAGGTACGATAGAAGGAAGCTGTAAAGGAAGGTTTAATTAATTGCAGCTTTTTATTGTTCAAGGAACTATAAGATTTATCTGAGGTTTCAATTATTTTGCAAGTAGAATGAGGATTTTTTAAAAAAATCAGGTTTGGTCGAAGCCCAATTCTAAGAAAACCCAGTCAGCCTTGAGAGAAAGGAATGAGTGATGGAGAGAGAGGGGGATGTGACCACATGAACTGCTAATAGGACACCTCTAGATCTCAGTTCCAGCTTTGCTCCTGGCTACCTGTGTGTTTCACATATCTCCAGTATACTCACATCCAGTGAGGTGTGTGTATGCATATGGGTTTTTTCTTAAACTGAAGACAGTAGTAACTTGCTTATTTCATTGCATTTATTAATACAATTCGTTAAATTTTAATTTAACCCTCATGTAAGTGGAGGAAATTGCCACCAAGTTAATTTGTTTATCCCAGACCTGTTGGCTTAAAAACACTCTGAAATTACAAAGTGCTGTACTGAGCACAAAGGAGTCTGAGTACACAAAGACACTCTCTTTTGCTAGGGACTGCAGAACACAGAAGGACTCAGAGCTTGTGTGTTTTCTCCTGACTGTTAGTAGATCTGCTAAAAATTACTTCCCCTCCTCACAGTTTCCAGCACACTTAGATACTCAGACCATCAGAGCTAAAACATCACAAGTGCTCTGTGTATGTGCATACACACCAATGCCATATACATTGTGTTCTATGATTCTGATCATCAGATCTTTTCCCTGTGATCCATTACCTACTAATTAAGCAATACTATGGATCCTAATTTTCGCTGATCATTATTATTCCATTCAGCAGGTGATTTAGCTGATGAGCAGTTAAGGTCATTTTCTGATTAACTCAATCAATTAATGCTCTTCATTTTGCAACCCCCACTCTATCCATAATAGAAACTGCCTTCACCTTCCCCCTCTCCTTCCCATTATTTTAAGGAAGCTAAGGTAAAGTAAGAATGTGTTACATATAATTACTATTTGCATAAGAAATAGAAAAAGAGCTCCTGTAACTGTGGTGCCATAGGGTAAAAACATTGTCAAGGGCTGGGTGCAGAGGCAGCTGTTCCTAAATGTTGAGCTCAGCATTTTATTATTTCCATTATTATTACTGTGTAGGGGTTAAAATTAAACTCCATGACAATAGTATGCCAGAGGGAGCATTCGTATCCAATTAAATATCCCTTATTAGCCATGCCCCTGTGCAGATTGTTGGCTGGACTTCTTTACAGTATTACTGTGTCAGCCCTTTTAAAAATATTCTAAAATTGAAGGATTTAATAGCATAGTCCCCACATCTGAAACAGCCCCACCAGAAGATCTTGAACCAGGTCTGGAGCTGGTAAAATTCAGTGCAATTAGCTTGTTTCACATGAGCTGAGATGTGGCACACTACAAGTCAGAATATTACAGGAGATCATTGCTATGTTCCTTCAAGTGGATGGACACAGCAAACATGAGCTGCAAGATCATGACGCAGTGGATATGGGTATACAGTTTCCACCTGCACAAGTGAATATTACTGTGTTTGTGCCAGCTTCTTGCAGCACTTGTTCTGAGGTTATTGTTCCAAAAGCAGAGTAGCCTCTAAACATGCCATGTTCCATGCAAACCAGAATTGCACCTGGTGGTGGGTGTACCCCAGATTGAGGGGCACCTCTTTCTCTTTCAGTGAGAAAGATGAAAGTACCCATCTTCATGGGTGTTTAAGCACTTCATTTGAAGTCAAATCAAAGACTTCAGGATCTATATTCTGCCTGAGAAATACTTGCATATATCCCTTCTTTGGTATTCTGCAGCCTCATGAACAGACACCAGCCCTGGTAAGGCCTCCACTTGTGACAGGAGTGCAGCAAGTGGCAGCTCAGTGATCAGTGCTCAGGCACTTGAGATGAAAGTGTAGAGAAAGACACATACTCCTAAGTCTGATGTCTAGCACTGTCAGAAATAGGTTGGTATTTGGATATGTTAAACTCAAAGTTTTTTGTCTTCTTCATACATGCATTTGCCAATCACTGGCCATAATTGAACTGTCAGACCATAACATTGCTTCAATCCCTTCCAGTTTGAGTTTTCTACCTGATAATTCTCCATGTAACTTTTTCACCTCTTCCATTTCCCTTCCTCTAAGTCTTTCTATTGCTGATAGAGCACTGCATGGGGCTCTCACACACTGCTGGTCCGAGGTCCCTGACCAGGCTGCCAGGCTGCCTTCCATGAGACCAAAAGCTCTATCACTGATGAGCTCAGGTTTCCTTGGCACACAGACCAGCTGAGGGAGCAGGGAACAGCAGAGGGGAGCTAGTAAGAAGTTTCGTGACAGAGGTCTTTGGGTGTCTTAGCAAGAAGAAAAGCTTCTGCTTCTGGTAGGAGAGCAGAGACAGAGCCAGGGCATCCTGCAGTGCCTGTTGCGGCAGTGAAGGACGTGGGCTCCATGCTGGGAGAGCTCCAGGGACTGAGGTCAACACCCACATGGCTTCATAGAGAAGTGGGAAAGCACACTGCCTGCAAGCAGGATACATCCTCCAGCCTTTTATCCCTGCTGGTCCCACCAGCCTCTCTCTCCCAGTGTCATAGCTCAGAGGAGCTGATTGCCAACGCAACTCTTTTGGGTGGTAGCTTGGCCTTGTCAATGACAGTAAGTGCTTCTAAGTAAATTATGCACCTGCTTTACAGAAAGATTGAACATGCAGGAAGATACGGCTGAGGTTAATGGACTAATCACTTGTCTCTCACCCCTGGGGTCTTTGTGCTAATCCAGGTCGGTTTGAAGGTTGAAAAATTGCAGGGACATATATAACTCAAAGGTGTAATTGAATTGAATTGTGTGGCAATCTTACCCAGATTCTCACACCTATGGCATATTTTACAGGGAAACCAGTGATAAGTAGAGCCCATGGGTGCTGGGTGTGCAACAAAGGATGACAGGGACGGTCTTTAGTGGCCTTTCAGCTTGATCTCTTTGGTCACAGAGCAGCTGCAGTATCGTGGCAAGCTCCACTGCAGGTGACCCATGACTGCCTGGAACCTGCACTCCCCTGCTGCTCCATACAAACACATTGTGCCATCCTTTGCTACAAGTGGGAACTAGACAAAACCGGTGCACTGGCACTCTCCAGATTTACAAGATAAACGTTAAATGATTGGGGTTTTTCTTTTGGATCTACCTGTATGCCTCAGACCATGGCAGTGCTCTCTCCCTTGCACAAAGAGTTTTCTCTTGATGCACAGTCCCTTCTGATAGTCTCAGAAACTCATTCCAAAGCAAGTTCCTTCAAATCTGAAGGTGGCTTGTTTATCTGCCTGGTTGCCCACATGACCAACACAGGTCATGTTTTTGTTAATCAGCTTATAAGGCAGATCTGACTTCTCTGCAGAAGGCAGGAAAAGTAGGCCAGCACCTGACCTGCACTTGCAGATTTGGTCCCAGCACTACTGTGCCTGCTGTTGTTCTCAGCCCACTGGCCTGTCTACAGAATGCCAGATGGCCTCAATACCTGCCTAGGGTGAGCAGACACCAAGGCCTGTGTACATCTTCATTTTCATCTGCTCCTGAGTCACCTCTTCTTCCAGGGTCTGGAAACCCTGCATCCAGGGTGTAGCTGGAAGCCCATCATTTGTCTCCCTCAGCTTTTGTCTGCAGTCCCACATTCCCACCTGTCTCTGCTGGCACACAGGCAAGGAGTGGGACCTAGTGATCAAGCCATCTCGTTTGCTTTGCAACCTGAGGTGCTGTTCAGAACTCGGGGCTGGGGAGCAATTCTCATTTAGACCCAGGTCCAGGCACTTACATCCAAAGTTATGACCTCCAGCTGAACACAAACAAGTCACTTTCAGGGTAAAACCCATTTTTCATAGCCAGACTGAATTGATCAAGGAGAGATAGAGAAGGAGGCTGAAGATGCTAATAGATACTTTGGTGCCAAGTCCATATACAACCACAGAACAAGAAACTCCATCTCATACGGTCTTCCCCTTTACTAATTAAGGATAATATGATTTCCATCACTGGAGCTTGCCTCACAAAAACAACTATCATATCCTCCAGTGAGTCAGCAGGTCTGTTAAATTTGGTTATGTAGTTACATAATACTGAGGGGAAAAAGATTAAAAGCTTGGCTGTTTTGGGTTTCTCCTGCTAAGTATCTGGAGACACACAAAAAAAATGCTCTTCAGAGAAGAAACATAGATATCCTGTGAAAAAAAATTGTCATTTTGATGAGGCTTTTTTGTGCCAATCTGACAATGAAAAATGAGCACTAGATCCTCAGTGCTTTCTCTTAGGCTTGGCATAGAAATAGTTTATGCTGGAGTAGGTGGGAACAAATTGTGAGCATTTTCTAAACACACTATTTAGGGTCTCCCCCTGAACAATAAATGGAGTAGCATGACACAGCATAGCATAGCATAGCATAGTATAGAATAGGATAGAATAGGATTGTTTCAGTTGGAAGGGACCTACAATGATCATCTGGTCCAACAGCCTGAGCAATTCAGGGCTGACCAAGTTACAACACGTTATTAAGGGCATTTTCCAAAAGCCTCTAACACTGACAGGCTTGGGGCATCAAACACCTCTCCAGGAAGCCCATTCCAGTGTTTGACCATATTCTCAAGTAATACATCAAACTTCTTCAGCAAGAGCCTCCTAGAGGTGCTGAACTCCTTGCAGGGCCCTGTGTTCCTGTGTTCAACCTGGCTGAGCACAAACACTACCTACAGCGGTCAAAGGCAAGTGGGAGTACACGTGTGACATGTGCTGCTATCTCCTGGGACTTCAGTTACCAAGAAGTGGTAAAGGCAGCCTTCTACATACGTGTTTTCTGAAGAGCTCCACGTGGGGACCTAAAGCATGAGGATCTGCATCCTTCACAAACCAGACCACATCATCCACCGTCCAGGTCAAAGGATTCTTGCTTGATGGCCGAGCTGCATCTTGTCGTTCTGGTGAAGCACTTGAGGCTATCGGTGCAAAAAAGCCCACAACAGCACATTACAATGGCACACAGTGGTTTTCTTGGCTTGTGAGTGTGCAGGGGTTTGGCAGCCTAGCTGCAGCTTTGGACATTGGATCAGTGTGCAAGTATCAGCCTGAGATGGTGGGATAGGGAGAAAAGGGGGCTTGGAGCAGTTTCCGATCTGACTGCTTATTGGAAGACACGATCCCAGCTGGTGAATTGTGTTAAAAAACATGAAACCCTCAGGTTCCTGCTGGGGAAGGGAAAATGTGCCAGCTGCCAGGCTCTTAAACTGAGCTGCCCCTGCTGTCTGATCTGCAAGCAGCAGGGATCTTGGCTCAAGAAGACATCACCCTCCCACCTGCAGAGAAGATGCTTCAGCACTAAACAAAGGAGTTTACCACTGAAGGCAAAGCCTAGAAATAAAATCAGGATTTAGTAAATAGGTTCTTTTCTCTGCATTCAGATATTCATACTTAGAGTTTAACGGAACGTTTCCAGTCCATATCCTCCTAATCTTAGTCTCTCATGAAGCTGAGGGTCCCCAGTGAATGCCTATTTGGAAAGTTACTAAAACACACGAAGACGAACATTACACATGTGACTTTTTAATGGTATAAGCCCTGGATGATTTAAGGTCACTTCAGCTTGCTGTAGCTTTAAATCAAGTGAATAAAAGCACATTGGAATGAAAGTGCATTTATGTTTTTATTCTTAGTCTCTGCAGAATTATAAATCTCAACCTCCACCTGAATATAATTTGTACCCCACTTATGCTGCTTCACTCTGACAAGAACTATATTATGCTAGGTTATAGGAAAGCTCTTTCTGTTTGTTACATCCACACCAAGCAAACTTTGCACTAGCAGGCAGCAGGACACAGATATATAAAATCTTGCTTGCCCAAACCTGCTCATCTCTTTCTGTCAAGGCCCTGGTTTTTAAAGAGAGATGTGCAAATGGCAAGCAAACAAACTCTACAGTAGATCAGAAAGGAAACAGAATAGTGTATGTAGAGAGAGGCCACAGATACCTACACTGGAGCCTGGAGAAGCCCCAGGTAGCAAGGAGGCAGTCAGAACTGCTGAGGAGAGAAGGTATGAGATCTCCAGAGAAATACTGAGCTTACAGAGACAGATAAGATGTGTGAGAATCCCCATGCATGACTCAAGACACAATCCTAACGCATGTGAGTAAATGCACTGGGCTGGGTTTGTGGCTTTTGGAGGTTGTCGTTCCATTGACTTCAATAGAGCTCTGCTGAATCATATTAGCTGAGACCCTGCCCATATATGCCAAATAATGGTTATATGTGCATATTGGTCCTTTTTTCTTGTCACCATGCTCATCTTACAATATAATGTAATTAGGTATATTTTGCAGCTACAAAGGATGAACTCCAGAAAGTAGCAGTGCTATGAATGTGCAAATCTGGTCGATGGGCTTCATAATGGGATGAGATGTAAATATCATGATAATTGCACTCTCATTTGCTAAGTCACTGTTCTGGATATAAAGGACAAGGAATAGCCGCAGGTCCTTTTAATTAGACAGCGAGGACTGGTGTTCATATGGACTCAGGCGACCCTGGGCTCTGCTCACAGAATAAATGCAATACACAGTGGTACAGACACCATCTGGAGCCTTTGGCATGAAACAATGAAGACAAAGAGTGCAAAATGAACAGAGTAATCTTGGCCAACCACTGGATCATCAGTAACATCGAGGAACTTTGTCAGGGACAAGTGGGAGAACTGAGACTTGTCTTGGAGACAGAGGGGCGAGTATTTCTCCCCTGTGTGATCTGTCAGTGGTTTGGATGCCAGCTGATGGGTGACCAAAGGCTGGGGAGAAAACCAGGCTTTTGCAAACCAGCTGGAAAATAGAGGGAGGAGAGAAAGATTTGGCTGTGTCCAAAGGATTGCAGAAGTTTCTATGCTACTGCCATAACATGATCAGTGGAGATGTTGTGCCACTACTGAGGATCACATTTTTTCCCTTAAATTTGTATAAATGTAAGAAAAGCCCAGAGGGCTTAGCCTGGCATTCACACCTGGCACAGAAAGAGCAGCCCACAGCCCAGTGACTCCTGCCTGCAACCTGCTGCTTCCAGAAATGCCAGGAAAGGGCAAAGGGGAGCAGAGAGCCCCGAGTGCAGTTGGGAGCCTTCACAGGTATTGGAAATATCTGTAATGAAAGGAAGGGGGATGAGAAGAAAAGGTTGAAACGACAGGGGGATTCTATTCACTCCTCCGCAATCTAGAAATCAATAGCATAAATCTGATTTCTTAAAGACAAATATATAAATGACCTTTCTAAAGAGACTGCATGGCTAGAACTCTTCCAGGCCCTAGCAGGTGAACATAACCCTTTCAAATCCCTATCAGAGGTATAACAAAATAAAAAACAAGGATTATGTGTCGATACCAAATCCTCAAGGATTTTTTTGTCTTTATTTACCTACCTAGTATCAAGTCTGCTGATGTTCTTTCATGAATTAAGATGTGTTATTTTACTGGTGTGAAAGGGGCTGCCTTTAAATGTCATTAATAAAACTGGGATACCACCAGTTTGCCACCAAATATCTGGGACACAGTTTGTAGATGATAAATCTGGAAACAATCTGGTTTTCCATATATTTTAAAATTAATTTTGTTGCTTAATTTATTTGGCCTTTTATCATTGCAGGTTACACACTTGTGTAATCTCTCTATTTACATAAGAAAATAGATCATTTCATGTCTACACAAAGTCATAAGGCTTGTTTCAATAGCATCACTTTGCTGAAAAGTTGTATTAAGCACAAAAGTGTTTGATGGCAGCAGGGCAAGTACTATACATTTTTTCTTATCTGAAGGTGTTCACACTTAACCTAAGAATTAGATAAATGAGGAAGTCTCATGTCTCCCGGGTATCCTATGCCATCCTGTCATCAGAATTAATCAAGATGATAATGAATACTCAGATTACAAAGAGATGGGAGTGCTTGCGACCAATAATTATTTTTAGAGATCATAATCTAGGTCAAATCCAATTTCCTGTTTTTGACAGGTGGCAAAAATTTGTCAAATTAATGGAATGGGATATGGAAATTTAGGCAATCAGAGGGAAGCACTTTCCCCTCCTGCCTCAAGCGATGTTGGAGAAGGAGAGTGAAGAGGTTCCTCTGCAGGGGAAGGTCTCTAGGCATCCCAGTTGAGACCATTGCCTGCACAGAAATTGCTGGAATTACCAGGTCAGTGGCCAAAGTCCAGTGAAGCCAATGGAAAGACATGGTCCAGCTTGGTCTGAGTTTTCACTCTGCACAGACTTTTCTCTGCCATTCATCTCTAACCTCTGGACTTTCCTGAGAAGGAAGATGGAGAGAGACAACTGGCAAATGGCTGCACAGACATGACAAGGAAATACAATGCTAAAATGGGGTTAAACCTGCAAAAGAAGGAAAGACAAATAACAGACTCCCTAAATATGTTCTTGGCAAACAAACAGAGCCCAGAGGGAGTACAGTCATTGATAGATAAGAGTGGAAAGGGAGTGACAGATGAACTTTAATATTGCTGCAGGCCTAAATGATTTCTTTGCCTCAGGGGAAGGGGGTGGGAATGAAATTTTAAAAGGTTCTCTCTGATTGCACTGGAGCAGATAATAAGGAGCAGCAGATCTACTGAAACTAAGCAGAAGTAGCAGACCCTCAAAACACAGAGAAATGGGAATTATTTTAAAAAACAAACCACCTCTCACTATGAAGAAGGACAGAAAGAAGGCTTGGCAGACAACACTTTTCTAAAAGTCTAGGGCACATCAAGCGGGAGAAGAGGAGAGGCATCAGGAAACCAGGTGTGTGGGACAACACAGTTACAGGATATTTAGGGACGTGATGGATGTTGAGCCATGACCAGCAGAAAGCTCTGAAAAGAAGACTGGGCTAAGCACATCTGTTTGCATTAGCCAGTGCTTGCAGGAGATGTTATGCACCACCTGGCTGGTGTCCTCAGCCTTGCAATGCATCAGAGCAGAGTCCCTGTCCCACCAGTGTAGCAACTGCTCCCACTTACAATGTGGCATGCACCATGCAGGGATGCAGCATTGCAGGTGCTCCTCCACCTCCTGCAAGAGCAGCCCAGCAATCCACCTGCACGAGATGTGGCCATGGACATTAAATATTTATTTAGTCTTTTCTTGCTCTGCCTCTCTTTTGCAGAGAAAAAAAACCCAACACAGGCAGCTCACTGAAATCACCAAAACTTTCAGACTGTAAATGTCCTTAAAAATGAGCAGGATGTATTTGCTGAAGTGGTACCCAGCACTGAGCCTTGCAATGCCATCAGTAGTTCCTTTGCCTTGGGGAGATGCTGGATCTGGCCCCCACGGGGTGCTTGCAGTATTATTCTGGAAAAAGAGACATTTCAAACCCTGTGTCCCCAAATGTTTTCAGGAAATAAATGTATTAACGAGTAGGATTGCCTCTTTAACAAAGACCCTCAGGTGATAATAATTAACTGCTAATATTGGATAATAAAATCTACATAAAAATAACAAGCTACAGGGCAAGGTTAAGGTTATTATATTGTGGTTGAATGCACAATTCTTCATACTTGAGATAAAGACTTTGTTATGTAAGCAGGCTTGGAAAGGTTTATGATGTCCTTGACTATTCCTTCCCTGATTTAAAAGCTTCAATTTGGCAAATGATGACAGGAAAGTGCATGTTTATCTGTTAGCAGCCCCAACTGGCTTTCTGAAATGAGATTTTTATTTTTTTTATTATTTTTTTTCTGAATTTTTTAGCATAATCAAGGAGAATTAAGCATCAAGCTTCCGATCGCATTAATGAGAGCTTTGAGGTTTAATCTCATCCATTCCGCTTGAAAGACATGTTCTGCTATGCACTGAGATATGTTTTATGGTTATGGTTTTTTCCATTATATTTGCCCACCATGATAAATAAGGCAAGCTATTTTTCAAAACTATCCATAAATAAATAGGATTGGGTTGAGGTTTCAGAGATAAATTCTTCCTCTTTTTAATGAGTCCTGCCTATCCCTGCCTTGTAAGTATACAAACTGAAGAGCATGAGAACAGAGACTGGCATGCACCATTACTCATCTTGGCTCACTTATGATTCAGCAACATATAAATTATGCCTAGAAAGAAGAAAAACACACAGAGAAGAATTGCAGTGAGAGCACGGATTCCAGAGACCTTTGCAAGAGAGATTTTGTGAAGGCACTAATCAAACTCCAGTGTAGCTGTACTCAGGCAAGTGCAGATAGATGTGTATTTTATAAGTCTGGGATTACCAGTGGAAGTGGAAGGAGCACAGTGAGTGAAAATATGATAGCTGTGAAGAAATACAGTCTCTGATTTTAAGGAGGAGCAGGTAGTGCTTTGTAGAACTCTGTGATGAGAACTGCAGTGTTACAGAGCTGACACTATGGCACGTGGGACAAGAGATGAAACCAGGCTGTGATCAGATACATCACAGAGTCCCAGTGCTACAAGTGATACCATAATGAATGTGTGGGCACCTTGACTTCAGGGATGTCACTGTGCTGCCTATCACAGCCACAGAAAACTGCCTGGCTGTGTCTGAGAGCCAATGGCTCTCCTCTGCCTCCAAGGACCCATATTCTGCCATGGGCTGCAGCAGACTCTGCTGGAGTTGCCAGAAAGCAGCTGAATGGATGAGAGTAAGTGTGATGGATGGTGGTGGCACAAATGTGCACTGGCTGTTTGTGCTGCCATACATTGAGGGAGCTCATGGGATTGCTATTTCCTCTGTGAGAGACCTTGACAGCAAATCCATCTCTGTATGGCTTTGCATGTACCTCTGTGGTAGACCCTAATCTACAATGGGTGATACTGGGAGCAATAAATTGTTAACACCAAAAAATAGCAATATGAATAATTCATAACCATCTTAATGATGTTCACTGTATACCTTTCAGCTTTAGGAAGCCTTTACTGTTGAGCTGACCAAATGATCCAGAGGTCCCAGAGAAGTTAGTCTATGCAAGTGTCAAATGTTTGTCACATAAAAAATACTAAGATATTTTGGGATTAGTCGTATTAGCCCAAAGTATTATATGTTGCAGCTTCAAGGCACTTGTAACTGCTTTGGAGACAGTCACATGTCATGGATATCTGGTTCAAATCTCTTCCTCTTGGCTTCTCAAAGTACTTTAATAAGTTTTAAGCTAGAGAAATAGAGGAATCTGCAAAGCCTATTGCATGGCTACTCTATGACTTTTTTGTTACTTCAGTTCTGGAAAAATGATGTGCCATATTTCAGCCTTTCATTTTGTAAAGACTGCAGATTTTGTGGGAAGTCACGAAAAGAGAGATGGAGATGTCCCCTGAAGCTTCACTTCCTGCTCAGGACCATGTGAAGCTTTCACTTCACAAGACATTCACTGAGACTAGGAAACAGTGACATTCAGAGTCAGGAACAAGAAGGGAAAGTAATGCAGCTGAACAAGCTTAAGAAGTTCTGATTTTAAGCTTCAGTCCCCTGAACATAGTTTTCATTGCCTGATACCAAGGGTTTTCTCCACACAACACATTCTTAAGTACTGAATTTTGTGTATGCTGAAAATGCACAAAGTATTCAATAAGCCACTGAGTGATTCAGAGAAGAACAATCTATGAAGGGTTAGTAAATATGAATCTACCACCTCTGGTTCAGGAAGTCCCTGAGTCACAAGTTTCTGAAGGAGGAGATGGTAATGAGGAAGAACCAGCATCTCTGACTTTATCACTTATCTTTGGGTGTGCTGCTGTTTTATGCTGGAGACAGGATCTGTGGCTAGACACACCTTTGCTCTGAACTGCCCTGACCCTTCATATGTACTACAAAGAGATAACAACTGATCCCAAGCAATACAATACAGATTTTTAAAGCAAGTAAGTAGCAACGTTGTTACATCTTGGCTTCTTGCAGCTGCCAACTAAAAAGCTTGTTGTAAAGGTCCCAGTCCTGCTAGGAGGCTCTAAGGAAGTGGTGGGAGAGGGTTAAATGAATCCTCTGCACAGTAAGCCTCTTGTCCTCCTAGTGCCTGATTATGCCAGTCTGAGAGGCACTGAACAAGATCTGAAAGTGGCTTTTCACTTCCTTTGCTTTGTAACTGAGGCCACCAGTTCCTAGCGACAACCTTGTACAAGTTGTTTGCAGTAGTGTGTTTGTGCACTATCCACTTTGCTGTGAGCAAAATTGACTCTGTAAGTAAAGAAAAAATAATTATGAGAACCAACCACTTATTGGTGGTCTCTCTAATAGAGTAACACAGGGGTAAACCAGGAAAACAAGTGTGTGATAATAACAGCAAAGTGAGGGATGGTTTTGGGTGGGTATTGAACATTTAAGACAGCAAACTTAGATAAACAAATAAATACAAGAATAAATACCTGTAAAACATATTTTGGAAGAATAATGTTCTAAAACATTAGTCAAAGTTCAGAAACAAGAAGTAATACAGGTGTTGGGAGGTGAGGGATGTGAAGGAATTAAGCAAAGATCTGTGGGTACTGGAAAGAGGCTCTGGAATGAATTCCAGGCAAGCATATGCAGAATCACTTGAAATTTCCAGGGGAAATGCAAGGGCAAAAAGACAGTGTAATGAGCTAATTGTAGACAAAGGGGCTAGAGGAACCAGCGAGGCTTCTGCAAATACATCAAGATTTAAAAAAAAAAAGAGTAATACTAGGGTGACAGTAGATTCCATTAATAAATGAGGAAGGGAAAGAAATTAATGACTTAAAAATGGCTGAGACATTCAACTCCTTTGTTAGATCTATCTTCAAAATGAAAAATGCATAAATGAAGTTTGAATAATTAGTAAGGGGTGAAGATACTGCTGGAATCACTACTGACAAAGACCTGTTAATGGAGAACTTGGAAAATGCAAACAAAGACAAAGTTAACGGAAGTTCAGTGAATTAGCTAACCTGCTTGATGAACTCAGGTAATTTCTAGAGGAAAAAAAATCATGGCCAATAGGACATATAGCTGATGGGCAGAGCAACTGACCCAGCAAATGTAAATTGTAGCAGGGTAACTGGACAAAAATACAAAGAAAGGGAAGAAGAAGGGTCATTGAATGCAGGGGTTCCCATGGCATTCCTTGAAAGTGTAGATAAACTTCTTGTGACTTTGCTTCCTGAAGAATAAAAGATCCTTGAGCGGTGAGCTGGATGGCTGCACAAAAATATATGTTTTGCTGGGGAGTCTTTTTCAAGGAAAATCTGACTTGGATCATGATGGAAGGGACAAGATGGGCTATGCAGCTAGGAAGAAAACCTTTTGCCAAAATGCTTTGAGGTAGGTACTAATATTTGGGTTTCATCTGCATCATATCTTGTACCCAGCTGGTGTCACACAAATAACAGGTACCTGCCTGTAGGCAGGATCAATCTTTGGGAGCAATGCCTTGTATATTAATATTTATATCTCTAAGTTGATAATGACAGATGTGATTGCCACACGATTATACATAATACATATGTTTACATAATAACAGCATTAGAAAACGTTCACCTTTTTACTTAATGACGAACAGATTGATTTTGTGTTTACATAGCTTATTATTTCTCCTTCTAAATGGAAACATGACTTCATCACTGAACCACCTCACTAATTTTCTTGGGGAATTTGGGAATGAGTTAAGACTCCAGCATGGCACCAGCACAGCAGCACACATTGCTAAATGGAAGAGGTTGTATTACCACTTCTGTTGCCTTCAAGATAGGCCTCGTTCCTCGTTGGACTGGAGGTCTGATGCAGCAGGCCAGTAGATGAGGACCCTCCTGAAGACATCGGGGCAGGACGGTGGGTACAGGAGGAAGAGGAGCCTCCAGCAGGATGTGCATCTGCAGGACTCTGGCGCATGGTGTACATGGAGCCCATGCAACCGAAGGCAGTGTCGGCAGGATCCACGTTGTACTGCTTCGAGTTCACAGGGTCAGCCAGGTAGTCCTCAGGTATAACTGTTGCTGCTCAGGAAGCCAAGACACAAAAGAAACATCAGTAAAACAGAAACAATTTTAATTCAGTCCTTGAAAAAAATATTTAATTTTGGGGCAATAATTCCCTTTTTTTCGGCCCAAGAAGTGTAACTTCCATTTCTATGGCTCGATGTGAGTCATCTGTGTCAACTTATGGCAATATTCTCTGTAAAGTCCTGGGCTACTGACTGGCGGGTCCCATTTGCCTCATGGTGCTCCTTGAATATCACCAAGACTAGAGATCTGTGCAGCTGTTGTTTGCTCTGTCTTTCATTTCAAACCATCAAAGTTGAAAGGAAGGAGGCAGAGGAGGACAACAAGACAGGCAGTTTGTTGAGTTCATTATGCCTGGCAGCCAGTAGGAGAGAGTGAAGGTAATAAACCAAAGCATTCTGGCTGCAATTACCAAAATTAATCAGAAGTATCCTCAGCTGCAGACATCCATCAGGCCTGGTATCCCACAGGGAGATTAGGCTTGATGGCTGATGAGCACACCCAAGGTTTATCACAGGCAGATAGGTGTGTGAGTCACTTGGACCCGACTCAGGTTCAGACAAGTGTGCTGACATCATGGATGACTGCAAACCATTGCTATGGTTCCTGTCCTCTGCATTGCACTTCTCACAATATGTAGCAACTAAATACCTTGCTTTTCAGATTCGTCCCAGTAAATCAAATTTTGCACTTAATGACCCATTTTAGGTACTTATATTCCCCTTTGCTTGGGGAATGCACAGGCATGAGGCAGGCAGAGCCCTAGGTTTTGCAGTACACAGACTTTTTTTCGCATTTCCCCTCAGATCTAGGTCCAGGTCAGTCCACTGTATAGACTGACACTTCCATGTCTGTGTCCTCACCTTCCTCTGACCAGTCCCAGACTCCTCCCAACAGCCTTTGATATCCAAGCTCCTTCCTATTGGCCTTTCTTTGTTTTCACAAAACACGGTCAAAGGTCTTCCTCCTCCTCATTCCCACTGCCATTCTCTCTGCATAACCAGCCCTCCTCTCACCCAGCCCCAGGTCCCTCTCCTCCACCACCACTACTGGGATACAAGTAGAGCTCCTGGTAACTTCCCCCAGATCCCAACTTTCAGATAACCCTACAAACACTGACAACCTGCACTTCAGAGATTCCCACTCCCACTGGGTGAAATGAAGTGTTAGCATCTGGCAGACAGGGAGCCCCTGCCTTAGGGAAGTGCCTTCCATCGCCCCATGATGTTTCTCTGACCTGTTGAAAGGGCCACTTTCCTCATCATGCATGCTCTCCCTCCAGAGACATCTAAGCAGGGTGGAATTACCCCCATAGTGCCACACATCAGCTTCCCTGCCTAAGCAACACTGTCCTCCTGGTGCAGTGTAGCCTTATTGAGTAACAAGAAGAATTTATGCTGTAATTTATGCCATAAGACACAAACCCCATTGCTAATAGATGTTGAGGTTGTATATAACAGAGTTTTAATTTACATTTTTACTCTTTTCCGTCAAAAAAAAAAAAAGGCAACTTGGCAGCTGTGTACAGTAGTTGATGCTAAACAAACATGATTTAGTTTGACAACTCACATACTCAAGAGTTGTGCCATGCCAGCACCCTGGCTTCTGTGTCAAGTCACAGCACAGATTTTTATTACATGGTTGCCTGACTTTTCATTTTCTTGCTGCTTTTTAAATCTTTGTCCCATTCTGTGTCAAGGCTGGACTCGCCATAAGGCAAACATCACATCTGAGGGAAAGTTGTAAATGTGAAGTTTCCTCTCTTCTGGGCCTTTGCAACTACAACTGCAAGTAACAAATTTGCAACTGCAAATAACTTTTCTTTAGCAAGTCTTTTTTCCTTTAGATAATCTGGATTCTTACAAAACTCATTCAGGTATCCTGCTGCTTTCTGCCAGGGATTTCTGAGCTTGTTTCTCACACAAATACGGATAGGGTTTAATTCAATTGAACTCAATGGAGTTCAGCTAACGTAACACATAAGAGAAATAGGAATCAGACACTCTGAACCTTTCTCCCTAACCTCCAACAGATGCAAAAATTATATAGCAATTGAGCTAAATACCTTGCTTTTCAGGCTCCTCCCAATAAACCAAAGAAAATCCAATCAAGCCTCCTCACTCAAAGGAATTTAATTACTGTGTAGAACACTTGCAATAAAAGCCTCTTACGCATAAAGAAGATGGCTCTTTCTGCAGCATCCTGCCTGCACTGCATGGAATAATTATGCCTCTTGTGAATCATTACCTCTTTATTCCAGGAAAAGAATGTTCTTTTAATATGATTACAATATGAAGAAGACATAGACTATCAAAACAACAAAGAGCACATTAAAAGAGCCCTGCTAAATAAACAGCATACAGCTTTTATTACTGTGGATGTAAATTACTCCAAAATTTGTGAGCAGACACCAGGGATTTGTTGACTGATGTCAGACTCTCTCAGTAGCCTGTGTGAAACAAGACATGTGCAGATGAAATCTCCCTGTGGAAGACACCCAGGAGATGTGTACAAGACTATTATGAGGAACCAATCACTGTGAGCTCTGTTCCTAACCTTGCTTAAGACTCTTCTCTTTATCTGGATCAATTTATTCCACATGTTTCTGCTTTGAGTTCCAAAATGGGAGTAATGATGCCTATTGCCACAGACCAAGCAGGAGCCTCCATTCATTACTGTATGAAACATTCTCCAGTGAAAGGTGCTCTGGGAATCTGAAAAGTTATATTAATGTCTTCATTGAACCAGGGATCATCTCAAGCTGCCAGTTTTCTAAGCTAGCCTTTTCGGAGCTCCTGATCTTCAAGTTGACATAAGCTGGCAGCAGATTACAAGAGCAACTCATCAGAGTCACTTTCTGACCAAAAGAATCTCATGATGAGATGCAGGTCACAGTTAGATTAGGCGAAAGGAGACTGTGCATTCATGTATGCTCACCAATTTTAAACAGTATAGGTTTAAAAAGTGCTGGCCAGCTCTCACTCCCTGCTGAGTGCAGCTGCTTTGTAACTGCTTTGCAACTGCATGAGCTGATGCACCTTAAGGAACCACGTTTCCATGAGCCCATGCCCTGCAAATGGGGGAGACCCACATGTGGAAGGGAGGAGGCAGGCAGGCCCAGAGGACTTTCAGGGCACAGAGAGATCCAGTATGCCCCTGAGGGACACAGAGTCCCCAGTGACACTTCAGGTCAGAAGAAAACATCTGTATTTCATGACCCCCAGCTCCCAGCAGCAGAGAAGGAGATGAAGATGGCCAGGGCAGTCTGTATGGGTTCACCAAGGAACAGCCACACCTGACCAACCTGATTGCCTTCTATCATAAAGCACATGGGTTTGTGGGCAAAAGGAGAGCAGTGGATGCTACTTGCCTTGCCTTAAACAAGGCTTTCTATACCGTCTTCCATGATATTCTTGCATCCAAGTTAGAACATTACTGTTGGGGTGAATGAGAAACTGGTTGGATAATGGCAGTTAATGGGTTGTATGGAGGGCAGTACAGAGCAGGGTACCACAGGGGTCTAACCTGGCATCCAGGTGTGCTCTGTGTGTGGTATCAGACAGACAGGGACGAACCAGTAAGTTCTCTGCTCTGATGTTTTCTCCACTCCAAGAAGTAGCCACAGAGGTGGGGGGGAATCATGATGAGGACTGATGTTAGAGGCCCTGGTCTGCTTACAGCAGCACAGGAGGCAGTAGGAGGCATGGACTCCGCTGTCCAAAAACTACAGAAAACTGGGGAAGCTCTTTGTATTCACATTTTCCCAGCTCCTTGTTAGTTTGTACCACAGAGAAGCTGCATGAGTTGGAGTTCCACTGATGATATGCATGAAAATATCTGCACTTTGTAAGCTCCCACAAGGCTTTGTAAAATGTATGGCTTTCACAGCTTCTAATCCCACTTCAGCCAATTAGGAAAAAACATGTTATCTAAGACAATAGAATAAAACATCACTCTCAATTGAGGTTTAAAATGCCACAGTTTCATAAATCTGTAGCTTAGCATTTCTGCATTCTGTCACACTTCTATATTTTACTTTCTAGGTAGTCAGTTTCACACACTAGTGAGAAGTTAGTACACAATGCTTTAAAGCAGAATTTATGAGAAAACTGCTTTTGCTCTGAGCATAGTAGTCTCCATTACAGCTGAGATGCTCAAGCTATCTTGGCATAGTTTTCTTTTCCATGAATGGTCCACAGGTAACTGGACTGAAAAACCCAAGGCTGTTACATCCAGAACACCTTAAAATGCAGCGGAAGAGGAAAGAAAAAAGCCACAACTGCTTTCCCAATTTAAAAACAGGCATCCCTTTATCTGAGTTTCTTTTAAGTAGCAGCCTGCATAGTTCCTAACCAAATTCCTGAACATGGGTCAGTTGAGCGTTAAAATAGCCTGAGAACCTGCAGCTAACATCCCAGCTCTGCTGCAGACCTCTGGAGTGATCTTGCTCAGGTTATCTGTCATCTTTGGATCCCTGTTCTCCATTAGGATGAAGAAAAATACTTGTTTTGTCTCTCATTTCTGTAACATGTTACGTTCTTTTTGCCACCGTTTGCCACCGTGGAGTGCCACGTGGATGCATACTGCATGTCTGAATGCAGAACACAAACATTGGACCTTTGGTAGCATCTGGGACTAGAGACAATCCAGAAAGACAAAAGAATTGACTCCCATTGTCCATTAGGAAAGTAAATGAAAATCAATTTCAAGTCAGGCAGGAAATGAAGAAGAGCATATATGTAGGAAAGATGATCTCTAGCTGACATTTTCCTGAGCAGGTCTGATGTCTCATTTTTTTTCTACATCATAAAAAACCCCAAACCTATTCTGCTAAAATGTCTCCTATAGGTAAAAGCTCTTTCTGCACTCCAGAAACACTCTATTCTGTCTTCTCTCCACCCAGGCCAAACACATCTTGTGTCGCTGTCCTCACCTTCTGCTGCTCCCACATCACTGCTCATGTTACATCTCTCCCTTTACCTCTCACAGGATCCCTT